CCATATTTGATCTGTCATTTTGAATTTTACATTTTTTACTTCAAATTTGGAAAGAGCATCCCAAAAATCTCTACATACCAATTTTTGTGAATATTGGATCGATAGTTTCTGAAATACATGAAGGCCGTACACGGAGAAAAATAATTTTGCTCTTTTAGCAAAATCATCGTTGCTACTGCATATTCATAGTGACATCAAAAAATTTAGTTAACATAACTAATTTTACAAATTATTCGTTATCAGAGCAGAAGTAGTTTCGTTGCTAGGATAGAAAAAATTTATTGAGTGTATTTGTCCTAAGAATCACGTTAATTTACTATTGACAATTTACAAAATAATGTATCCTTAGCAAATTTATTTGCTAAGCGGAGCAAAACTGCAACTGCTTATATAAATCCATCATGGTCTTTATAGCAAAATAATTTGTAGATTCAGCAAATTATATCCAGCAAATAGTGATTAGTACTCTTAGCAAATCTTTTTGTTGTCCATATAATAACGAAAAGATTTTGCAGAAAATTTTAAAATCTCATTTTTCTCCAGATCAGCAAATTATTTTTCTCCGTGTAGAGCATCAAAAGATGTCTCCCGTCCTGAAAGGGTTAAAACATTCACCCGCGATGATCGAAATTACCGACTCGGTCTTGCATTCCACTCCTTCGTTTCAGCTTCTGAATATGAACCAGCTGTGAACGAGGTCCAAGTTCCCGTTCTGAATCGACAGGTGTGCAATGTGTGGTTGGCGCATAAAGAGCTCAACGTCACTGACGGAATGATCTGCGCCGGCTACGCAGACGGAGGGAAGGACGCTTGTCAGGTGAGTCTCGCGGGAAATACTTCACACGTTGGGGAAGGGTAAAGAGTTTCTCGCTCGCGATAGATTTCGCTAATGCCTACCCTCCTTCACTTCCAGGGTGACTCCGGAGGGCCTCTGTTGTGCCAGGACAAGCACGACAAGGAGAGATGGTTCGTCGGCGGGATTGTCAGCTGGGGCATCAAATGCGCCCATCCAAAACTGCCCGGTGTTTACGCTTATGTGCCCAAGTACGTGCCGTGGATTCAGAAGGAAATGTCTAAGTATTCCGAGATCGACAGGGACAACTGGAAAGCGTAATCGACGGACTTGGTCCAACATTCGAATAACAAAGTAAGCGACACTGAGATCATTAAGAAAGAAGAAACAAACGTCGCAATCAATAGAAAGAAGTTGGTCGAACGAGATAGGATGAGAGAGGAAATTAAGAACAAAGAATGATAGAACAGTTGCGAATGTTTGCACGTTAGAACATTCCTTTGAGTGATACTAAACATGACCGACTTAACTAAGGAAAGTTCGCCATAGCCAACTGTAACAAGAGAAGTATTTTTCTCCTATCAGACAGTATTACGCAGTTTGAATACTCCACTGTCACAGCACACCCGAAACGCACCGATATTTATTACCGTGATCTTTCGATCGACAGCTAGTCCAACTGACACGACGTCACGCCGCTCTATACGATTTTTCGTAGGGGTACACTTTACGTAAATCGCTCGAACTCGAAGAGAAAAAAAAAGCGAGATACAACTGGAAACATACATAGAATATACTATTTCGTAAGCGGAGCCACACAGACGGACGTTTGCCGAGGATGTTTGCGTACACAAGTTCAAATAACAAGCCATTTTCTAGGGTGTTATTAAGCACAAAAAAGAGCGGATCAAAATGCCGATGTACTTTTGGTACTGAAACACTGAAATACACTGAGGGATTTGTGCACAAAACGAAAATCACGCATATGATGCGACAAAAAACATTTTGTATCGCCGACGACTTTAGAAAAGCCGTGTATGAACCACCAAGTGGTCGAAATCCTCGATCTGTTTGGGTGTGCGTTTAACAGTACTCAGCCGTTATGAGTCGTTCGAGCGGGATAGTGCGGGCCACGACGATAAGTCGCGCATCATTTCGGCGTTATTTCGTTCATTAATTACGAGTGACAGGTAATTTAACACACGGAAAACAAAGTTTGATTGTACTGAGGCGAAGTTCGGTTTTAACGAACCAACACGTTTCGGTCGAAGGACACAGAATTTCTGCGGTTCTTATGGCCCGGTTCTAAGAATCGGAAATTCCGCTTTCAAAACGCGTCGGTTCGTTCATTACGACTCGACTTCATGTCAGAATATCCAAACTTTTCTCTCCGTGCACTTCTTTCTTTTTTACAGAAGAAAGTTCTCCGCGGAAAAAAGCGCTATGAAAGCAGCTCTACACGTTCGACTAGTCACTCTGCAAGGTTCTCTCTCTCTCACTTCGTTTCTTCAAACTCGAACAATTTGATTTTCTTACCGCTATTCCGCTCGACGACTTGTACGTTTATATGGCAATCATAGAAAAACTGTGATTCACAGACAATCCTCGGCGAACGAGGATTTTAAATATTCTGACGAAATAGTCTTCTCGTTGGTGCATTTTAAATTTACATTGAAGTTTTCCGTTTCTTCTGCTTTTAAAGCTGCGATTTATGGCAGTAGAATTGCGTTAAAAATTGCATCCTTCGTGTATCGGGTATTATTTCCGCAAATCGTTACATACAGATGAATATTACGTTCATCTCCCATAGTTAGGCAAAAACATTCCCACAGTTCGAGAATAAGATTCTGGCCTCAGTTGTTCACTCATTCACAGTAGCGAACAGAGAAACTGGATGCTTTCCGGAGATATGTGATACAATCAATTACGAGAAAATACCTTAATATCACTAGAACTACTAAAGTGAAAAAAAAAACTGTACATGTAACTGGAAGGATGCACAGCATATATATATATATATATATATATATATATATATATATATATATATATATATATATATACATATATATATACATAAACTATAAACTGTATTTTTGTAAAGGAACGTGTTAAGCGCACACCCGCTATATAGGTAAGATATATCGTACACGTATACCGCATGAAATGCATCAGTGTACCGTCGCGCGAATATTTTAAGTAACGAGCATACGACGATGTCGCGCACGACGAAAAAGAAAAGAGAGAGAGCAGGCAACAATGTCTATGTGCTTATCGGTGTAAATGCATTGCAACATGTGTATATCCAGTTATCTGTACAATAGTCGTGTGGTCGGCCGTTAAGAGCGCGTGCTAGGCACGCTAAAATTCTAGTGTTACGTGTACGAATACAAATACACACGAGACGGGGATGTGTTGCACACCGCGCCTTCCATGTGGATGTGATAAGCGCTGAACCCCACGTAACTGCATCACCGTTACGAAAGTCCGTATTCAAAGCGTTTTAAGTATTCGAGATAGAGCTTGTGTCACGGTTCGCGAGGTAAACTCGAGTAAGAGGGAGAGAAAAATGAAGAGAACTGCCACGGCGAGTAGCGGCGAACATTTTACGCGGTTTCGTCTGCCACGTAGGAGGGTAGTGCGGTATGCAAGGATTCTCCGGCTCTAGGCTGAGCGAACGAAAGAACAAAAGAAGAAAGAAATAACAATTTAGGTTTGCCTCATCGGTGAATATCCAATTTTCCATCGGTTTCTCTCCTTGGCGCGCCAAGTGCGATCGCACGCGTTTCTTACGTGAGTTTTTGTGACGTTTGATCTCAAATTAACGATTGCTAAATTAACTTCGAGCTCGATCCTGATTAGGAGTCTGACAATTCGCACACTCGACAACGTTGCTCAGCCTGTTTGTATCCCAATTGAATTACTCAATACATATGTGCGCTAAGCATAAGTAAGTTGTACGTAAGCTGTTACATGTATATAGTGATATTACAACGTAGAAACGGTATAAGCGTATATAGATGCTTGTAGTTTAGTGTCCATAGCGCCGTATCGTTACTATTATCAGCATAGACGGTAAGGAACACGTTGACTGAATTCTAGGGACAATACTCTGCACCAGCACTTTTTTGATCCGCACTCTATTAGGAGAATCGTTTTTCAGTGAGTATACTTTATATGAGATATATCGTTTACGGAATCTAGGAGCCTTACTAATTGGCTTAGACTTTTTCTAAGCAGTAAGACGAATAGCAGTATTGTTGGCCAGGATGACAATTTAGTATTCGGTTTGAGTTGATTCGCAACAGTCATTTGTTGCCAATATACTTTTGAGAACGCGAACCTTTCCCGTCAGCTTGTCGAGTCGAATGCCGAAAGTTTTCTTCCGTCGTTTAAGAACGAAGAAGCAGTAAGGCAAAGCTACCAATTTCCAGATACGTATTTAATCCTGCACGGAAAAAAATAATTTGCTAGTCCAGCAAATTTTCTACTGGTCTAGCAAGATTTTCTCGTTATTATATGAACAGCAAAAAGATTTGTTAAGAGTACTAGGCATTTACTCGATATAATTTGCTGAATAAATTATTTTGCTACAAGAACCATGATGGATTTATATAAGCAGTTGCAGTTTTGCTCCAATAGCAAATAAATTTGCTAAGGATACATTTTGCATCAACAGCAAATTAACATGATTCTTAGGACAAATAAACGAAAATCTTTTCGTTATTATATGAACAGCAAAAAGATTTGTTAAGAGTATTAATCACTATTTTCTGGATATAATTTGCTAAATCTACAAATTATTTTGCTACAAGAACCATGATGGATTTATATAAGCAGTTGCAGTTTTGCTCCGATAGCAAATAAATTTGCTAAGGATATATTATTTTGCATCAAAAGCAAATTAACGTGATTCTTAGGACAAATACACTCAACAAATTTTTTCTATCCTGGCAACGAAACTACTTCTACTCAGATAATGAATAATTTGTAAAATTAGTTACGTTAACTAAATTTTTTTATATCTACGAATATGCAGTAACAACGATTTTGCTGAAAGGGCCAAATTATTTTTCTTCGTGTGGACATTCTTATTGCTTTGATCTTCAAATACGAATACTTTAAACTTTCAACATAGAATATGTTTACATACTCAATACTTGTACACATATTTTATTTGGAAGTTTAAATATTTGTATCTAAAAACCAAAATAAAGAAAGAATGTTCAGGATTAGGTACAGGCATTTTGGTACTTTTGTCTTACCTACTTTACTTTTAATCGCGTTTTGATAAAGCGTTGCGCGTTATTCTATACTATCGTTCGTATAATATGCGTAAATTCGAGTAGCAGCTGATTTCACCCGAGAAAAATGCTTTTCGCGACGAGGAAGCAATGATCATAGATTCGCCGCTTTTCAAATATATTATTATTTCAAAAAGAAATCTGTCGTTTTACGAAACACTCAGACATCTGAGAATGGCTTTTTCAAGACAGGGATTTACAGACAATAAGAGAAAGAAAACGTTTGACAATAACGGTCTTCCTTAGTATCCAGACAACACTTTAGTTGTAAAAGTGGATATAATGTACTACTTACATAACCGACAATACTGTGTGAACAGACAATAAATAGAGTTAGGAAATGTTCCATGATTGGACAATAAATTATCGACTAAGGTCTAGGACGTAAGGAAAAAATTAGCTGTAAGCTTAGGGTACGAAAAAATAACTAGCTGATAATTAGGATGTAATACATTTGGATAGCCACTTATAATTGTCTTACGACTATACCGTAACGCAAGGATCTCTATCGCGATCGAAAGCTCCGCTTATTATTATTGGCTGCAGAAGAAATAACATTTTGTTCACATTATATTCTATATTTTCATAGGATATACTGCGTATGCGCGCATTATACATTGTTTCTATTTGAGGAAAGTTAAGATAGACAATCAATGGGACGGCGACATATTAATTTTCGTGATCGCGTATACCTACGTTATTCTCCGGTTCCGTTGAAACGATCGGCGATCGCGATCCGTACTCTTCTCTCTATTGTATTGCCGTGATAAGCTAAAAGACAGTAACTGCCAAGTGTAAAAATGTGTAATCTTCCTACTTATCCACCGCATAAAATGCAACTCAGAGATTGACAGTTATTGCTTTTATCTGCATCTTACGCAATGCTTTTTAGAGATTCCGATCCTATTTGCTGAATTGATCTCACACGGAGAGTATACAATATAAATACCACTCTAGTCATGGAAAGAAGATATCATACTTTCTTTTTTTATCACGATCATCAAAAGGGATCTATTCTTACAACGTAAGAAGGTATATACTTACGTTTCCCGAATATATCCCGTTTTGCACAACTTTATAGAATCGATACGTAACGCAATTTTTCTGACCGTAGCATAAACAAAATATTGTGATGAGTCAATGGTTTATAGAGATGTATGTATATTATATACATATATATACACACACATAGGGATAATATATTATTACAAGGAAAAAGTATAGCCAATGTATCGTAATATATTGAGGAAAATTAGTGTAAGATTTTATATAGGATAGATAGAGTGTTACGTATGTACGCGGAAAATTTAATTCGATATCTGGGAAGTTTATTTTGTCATCTGAATTTGAGTGCCAAATCATAGGTAGCGGCGTAATTTTCTTTCAGGAGCGTTTCCTGAATTATACGTAGCTTTTTAGAACAATTAACGATGACTTCGACATGATATTCGGAACATTTCCGTTGCGTAAATTCGATCTTGTGATGTACAGAGTAGTGTGAATTAAGGTACGTTTACTGAAATACATATATGGGAAACTGAGGGAGGCGTTCTCGCCTCATCTTATGAATTTAGTTGATTGCCAGCCGGACAAATTTGCATTCGGTGTAGCTAACACGAATTGTCACGGGAATTATTATTTCAAAGAGAGATGAAGAGACACCTTACGACGTTGGTCACTTAGAAATCGTTTTAGAGATGTATTCCGCGCGCCGAGAGGATTCGCGAGTCAACATACTCGTGGTGAATTTGGCACGAGCAGCTTCGTCGCGGCGTTATGATTTACGCGTGAAGTAAAAATTGTAAGACGATCCGTTAGGTCTTCGTAGGTTGCGAGTAAGTTATGCAACGTAATGAAAGTACGTTTCGCTTTATATATTATAGTTACGAGTAGCGGGCTCTTTGTAGTTTGCCGCGGGTGGCCCGGTTATACTTTTGTGCTACGCTCGTTTGTCTCGCACAGATTCGCGGTAAAAATCCTACTTACTCTCCCGTCACGCGCTCGACAACAGACAAAAAAAAGAAGAAAAAAGAAAGAGAAAAATATCGCGCGAGTGTTCAAGCCTCGGCGAGAGGATTTGTCGAGAAGCACGGAGAAAAATGCTGCGCACAATATACAAATGTCCCTCTCGCTCCCTCTCTTTCTCTCTTCTTCTTCTTTTCCTTCTTCTGAGAGGAAGCATTTCTTCTGAAAAAAAAAAGATACTAACGAAAATATTTAACTACTCCTGTCAAGTCAATGTCGAATAGTGAAATATCGTAAGGTATGTCGTAAGGTATGTCGTACATACAAATCGTCGCAAAACACGTTGCACAAATACGCGCGATTGTGCGGCGCACTCGCACCCGTCGATGATCGCGAGTGCGCTCGCACGTATAGTCAAGTCCCGACGATCGGGAGAATCGGGAATGAAGCGGTAAAAAACATAGATACAGATATTATTCAATGATAAAAATATAAACATCCTCTCAGTATCAAGCGAGAGAAATCATATCAATTTATATTACTGTGTCCAAAAAGTAAGACTAATTTAAAATTTTGTTTTTAAATCTTTATTTATTATTCCAAATCTATTTCGTCGCCTTCAAAGTAATCCCCCTCAGACACAATACACTTATGCCAACGTTTTTTCCAACCCTCGAAACAGTTGTTAAAGTCGATTTCCGGAATGGCCTTTAAAGCTTTCTTCGATTCAGCTTGTATCTCTTCAATCGAGTCAAAACGGTGTCCCCGGAGCGGTCTTTTGAATTTAGGGAATAGCCAGAAGTCACACGGTGCTAAATCAGATGAATATGGTGGTTGTGGAACGATATGGGTCGAATTTTTAGCGAAATAGTCTCGAAGAACTAATGCAGTGTGAGATGGCGCATTATCGTGGTGCAAAAACCAAGAGTTGTCTTTCCACAATTCCGGTCTCTTTTTGCGAATAGCTTCACGCAAACGACGCATAATTTGACACAGATGTCTGTCACAGTGCTACCAATTTAGAAAAAAAATATTTCTGACATTCGATATACCCGCGCAATTTAACTTGAAAATTGGTCTTACTTTTTGGACACAGTAGTACACTGAGAAAAAGATAGAGATACTCGAAAATTTACTTGTGGTATATCAAGTTTATTTCGTAGAAATAACCTTTATTGCGTACAAAATTCGTGTTCGAGAGAAGAGTGAACCTGTTCGGACATAATCTGTGATTTTTTGGGAAATACTTTGAAATTATTTCCAAGAAACATCAAGGATTATCTATTAACCGGAGAATAGCATTGTTAAATTAACGTAATATATATCTTTTAACGTTGGATACGATAAGCGTGTTGAATGCGTTGGCTATCTTTGTCAGCAACTAACTTCGTTCCCGACTCTTTCGATTCTCGTTGGCTTTAGATCTTTTTAGACGAGAGCGTTAAAAGAATCGATACATATATATATATATATATACATATATACATATACGAATATTATTGATGCGCGGAATATAAAATTGCGGGTCAATTAATGCGGATTAGCGCGACATTGACACCAACGTGAGAGAGAGAGAAAAATAGATCGCGTTTGATTTTATATTCCGCGTGAAAAATGTGGTGACAAGTCGAAAGAGAGAGAAAGAGAGAGAAAAAAGGCGAAGACAGGATCGAGAAATGCAAAATTCTTGACGTTCTCCGGCTGACGATCCCCGTAGCCAGAAAACGGGAAGAGTTTAGGTATAAATTACCTTAAGACGGAGATGCGTCGGCGTAACTACACAATCGTTATTGAGCTTGAAGATTGATATACTGTATATTATATGACAAGATTGTAGCATCAACAGTAAACTTACTTGAATCCATGTGTCGGACACATGCATTCAGCATTGATTTCATAGACGTAACAATTATCGCCGACACGTCTTTCTTACGTGCACGTCGGCGCATTAACTTAAGCTACACACGAAAGATCTCTCGCTATGCTTCATCTTGCGTTTCATTCGACCCTTTCATTTGTCCACGTGATATCAGGTGTAAGTCCTATTCACGCAGGATGTTTCAAGAACCCAGCTAACTAATTGGAATGAGACGTGAAACGAACGAAAGTCTCGATAAGTTATGAGCTCTAAAGTTATGACGAATCGAGTGGGGGAAGAGTTTGATGGCGGAAACACCCTGTGTAATCTTGATTAGAAGCGTGTAGCTCGAAATCTTTGGTATAAGCAGGAGAATGACAGCGTGAAGTGCAATAAAAAAGGGAGGAGGTTGGCGGCTGGATGTATATGTGGAGTGTAGATTCGAGGAACTTTG